AAGTCAACTGGCCACTTAAATAATAACTAGATGCTGACAAATATGCTCACTCAACGTGACTAAGCACTTTGAGGTAATGTAATCACATCTAAGCAAAAAGCGTGTTTGTTTATTCGCTTTCTGTTTATTTATTAATCTCTGTAACATCTGTGTTATATGTTCCTTTGCACAAACGTTCTTATGATTTCCATTATAGCCTATCATTTCTTTGGCTCACAGTTGCTAAGTGGCAGACATCACAGTAAAAATTCAAAAAACCCAAAATATAAATAATTTTTTTATAATTTAGACAAAATATAATTAATATTCTGATACATTCTGATTCTGATAGACTATATTTTCTCAAATAGTTTAGGCTACTGTCTAAATAATTAGCATTAAAAAATGTCATACCATGTTCATAAAACAATATACAATAACTCAATAACAATACAATAACAAAAAAAAATAGCCTACTTTATACAATTAGATATAAACATAAACGTTTAGATATATTAGGCCTTGATATATATAAAGCTATAACCACACAAAAGTAGGCTATGAGCCCATAAAGTATGGAGCCCCTAAGGGGTGGTGGAAAAAATATGAGATACAGTAGATGAGAGGAAATCTATATCTACGGAGCCCCTAAGGGTAGGCCTACACGGTAGTGTAAAAAAATATGAGATGGGAGTAAAAATTACACATTTTAATGTTTTTGCGTTCGCACGAAACTTTGCGTTCACTCACACCTTTTGCGAGCGAACACAAAAGTTTCCCGGGTGAACACAACCATTTTAAAAGTGAACACAAAGTTTCTCTGGAAACGCAAAACATTTCTTTTTTTTGACAAATAGGCACATTTTTTCTCCCATCTCTTTTTTCCTTCAGTCCATGTCCCTTTAGGGGCTCCGTAGGCTAGCCTACTAATGATAAACATAAAAAAATATATTAATTAATATTAAATCTGATGGGACTATTTTAACATATTTGGCTCAGATAACTTTTTAGATGTTACAGCAGATTCTCCGAATTTCATTGCATTTGAATCCTCTTTCAATGAATTTGTCATTCAAAATAGGCTACAATCCCAATTTGCTATACCGGTTTGTTGTGTCTGTTTGCTGCAATTCACACCACTCTAGCCGCAACATGCTTGTTGTGGTTTTAAAGTAGGCTAGCCCAATTTTAACAAAGCCTTTATTATACCCGACATAAGTGGCTGTGATTTATGTATTTTGCTTTGTAGAATGCTGTCATTATTCTGATGATCACGATCTAAAGAGTTTCTCGACTATTTACATGTAGGCCTAACATTTTTTTTAATTCATTTAGCCTACAGATTTATCCAAAGCTATTTACAAAAGCAATTTATCACATATCCAGCACTATTCTAACAATATTAATAATAAGTTTAAATAGGATTTCAGTAAGTTGGCTCTCACAAGCCAACTTAATTAAATTAATTAATATGGGTTTTCATAAAAGATTTAAATTGATTCATTAGATATGCTATAAAAGTTTCAGAATGAATATTAAACACGTGTTTTAGGCAAGACTATCTTAAAGCCGTGTAAATATATAAAATGGAAACTGCTTCCCATATCTTTTGTTGATGATGTCAAAGGTTGTGTGCTCAAACAAATGATATGGCTTTCTGGGTTTTGAGTATGACGTCACAATTTTTTACACCAAACTCACTTAATCATTTGTACTGGTGACATCCAACCAGGGAGTTTAGTACGACCCATTCTACTGAAAATGCTTGTTTGAGGAGAGTGTTATTTAGAAGGGGGTGTCCTACACTTGTACCATGTAGTGTGTGTGTGTGTGTGTGTGTGTGTGTTTATTGAATCTATGTTGATCTATCACTAACACCAGCTGCTGTTATCTGTTGATGAATGTACTGCATTGGAACAGGTCGTTCATGTCTACACTTATCAAACAGTTTGGGGCCTTTTGTTTGAGGATAAAGAGCAAAACAGCTTGTTTTTGTTAGAAGGTCGAAGGCAAACAGACCATGGGCAGAAAACTACAATAATTGATGCTGTGTATGGCATTTTACAGAGCATCCCTAAATTTAGCCTACAGTATACACAAAGCATGAAGTTTGAATTAAAATAATGAGAGAAAGAACAGAAAATCCACAAGAATGCAGCAGTAATCCTTCTTAACCACTCGGCAGGGGTGAGAATCACATGATTACCACTACTACCACAGCCTACAAAGTTTAAATCTTGGTTAGTACTTCCAGAAAAAAAAGACACTCCACTCAACAAGTTAAGAAGAATATTTCATTTATTTAAACAGCTAAGTTCAAAAGTCATATAAATAAGCAAGATTAAATCTAGGCATTATTCAAATCGAAAACCTTATTCAATAAATAATATGGAGGGATCTGCTCTTACATAAACGGATATGTCTTCAGATAGAAAAAAAAAATACATTTAAGGCAGCATGTCTTTCAGTAAACCATTAATAGTGCCATAAACTGACACAACAAGTCATTGTAAAGTGCTTTCAGGTCAGTTTACACAAACAGGTTTAAATAAAAATGTCAAATTAAAATAATGAAGAAAAAAAAAGAAAGAAAATAAAATAAATGTAAAAGGGAAAACAAATGAGATGCAGTTCAGCCAACTGCAGAAGAACAGCCATTACCTAGTCACGGCCTCTTGTAACAAATCAAAATAACTTATCTTAGTGCCAAGACACATGTCGGATAAATAAACGAGAGAGACTCGTTCTATATCAGGCTAATATTTGTGCAGTAGACCTGTGTGTATATCTAAGGTACACAAGGACAGAGTTCAAATCTTTGGTTCATCAGGGTTCAGAACATATTACTTATTCAGCTTTAAGCACATATGATTAAAACATTTCTAAAAACAAACTTAAATTTGAGAAAAATAAATATTCAGACAAACTGTTGACCCTGTGTCTTCCTCTTAAAAGTAATGCTAGTGACAGTCGTGGTCTGAGCTGTCGACATGACGGATCTCGTCACAGTTGATGGTGCGTCCAGCGAGGCCGATCCTCGAAGCACATGGCCGGCCACAGGTGTCGCACATAAACTGGCTAGATGTTGTTATTTGTAAGGTATTGAGCTTTCGGTGTCATTGTTTGTCTACAGCAACGGTGATCCAGCTGAACTCAAAGGAGTGGATGGCAGTACGGCCATCTCTTGAGACCATCTCTTCAAGGTCATTTGGGTCCATGTTGCATAGTTTCAAATTGGCTTCGAGGCCGTCCTTGTAACGTCTGAGTTGCCCTCCTTGAGAGCGCATGCGGCTCTGGAGCTGGCCAGTTACAGTATATTGTCAGTGACAAAGTGCTAAGGGTTTTAAAGGCATATTTCCCATAAAGTTATGTCATTATTTACTCATCCTCGTGTTTTTCCAAACTTTCGTCCATGGAAGAGAAATGGAGACATTAGGCAGAATGCTCACGCTGCTCTTTTCCATACAATAAAAGTGAATGGGACACCACAACCAATGACGTTTGACGTCATTCACATCATGTGGATGATGACGAATGGGGTAAATCCAGCAAATAACTTAAATTTCAGTGTTGCCCTCAAACAAATGTATTGTTTGGCTTGGAATAGAGTACGTATCCCAGATGTACTCATTTTGTGGTGTTTTTCCTTTTTTTTATTCTAGTAATTAAAGATTGAGAGTTTATATCTTATAAATGGTTAAGAATGGTTAAATGGATCATGTCCACAATATGCATCTAGTATTCAAAAACTAAATTAATCATTATTCTTGCAGTATAAACACTGTGTTCCTAACATACTGGGTCCAAATCATTAAACAAATGGAATAACGCATAACTTGTACAGAATAGATCAATTTTGACTTTCAACTTTCAAAATATCTCTTTTAAAGGGATACTCCACTTTTTTTGGAAATAGGCTCATTTTACAACTCCCCCAGAGTTAAACTGTTGAGTTTTACCGTTTTTGAATCCATTCAGCCGATCTCCGGTTCTGGCGGTACCACTTTTAGCATAGCTTAGCATACATCATTGAAGTGGACAAGACCATTAGCATTTCTAAAAAAAAAATGACCAAAGAGTTTCGATATTTTTCCTATTTAAAACTTGACTCTTCTGTAGTTACATCGTGCACTAAGACCGACGGAAAATGTAAAGTTGCGATTTTCTAGGCTGATATGGCTAGGAACTATACTCTCATTCCTGCGTAATAATCAAGAAACTTCACTGCCGTACCATGAGTGCAGCAGGCGTAATGATATGACGCAGCGCCTGAAAATAGTTCCGTTGTGTTGACGGAAGGTAGCCTATTTTCAGGCGCTGCGTCATATCATTACGCCTGCTGCACTCATGGTACTGCAGTAAAGTTTCTTGATTATTACGCAGGAATGAGAGTATAGTTCCTAGCCATATCAGCCTAGAAAATCGCAACTTTACATTTTCCGTCGGTCTTAGTGCACGATGTAACTACAGAAGAGTCAAGTTTTAAATAGGAAAAATATCATAACTCTTTGGTCATTTTTTTTTTTTTAGAAATGCTAATGGTCTTGTCCACTCCAATGATGTATGCTAAGCTATGCTAAAAGTGGTACCGCCAGAACCGGAGATCGGCTGAATGGATTCAAAAACGGTAAAACTCAACAGTTTAACTCTGGGGGAGTTGTAAAATGAGCCTATTTCCAAAAAAAGTGGAGTATCCCTTTAAAGTTCCATGGAAGAGAAAAATCATACAGGTTTGCAATGGCATGAGGGTTATTAGTAAAGGATGACAAAATTGACTTTTTTGGTGATTTTTACACTCACCAAGCTCAGGTTCTGACCAGCAGTCTATTATTATATAGTTTACAATAATCTATATATGATAAAGCAGTATTGTCTCAACAATATTATCCCGATTAAAAAATATCTGTAGCATCTTGACTAACAGCCCTCAGTTGGGGTAATAATATCTACATTAAGAAACTACAAAACTACTGAAAATACTGTAATAAACTGTACATACTGCATACAGTAAGGTCCTAACTTCTGATTACAGCAAATCAGCATCTTTGGTGTCTAATGCAGCAATTATTTGTAGGAAACATAAAATCTCTTGTCATCTCACTATAATGTGAGATCAGCTCTTATGCCTCGTGCTGTTATACCACTTCCTCATGGCCACCCCACTAGTGCTGCTGATGACACACAGCGCTCCTCCCAGACTCCACCATGTGGGTTTGCGGTTGAGGAACAGGAACTGGAGGATGAATGCCAGGACCACATCCATCGTCCTCATCAGTGCAACAGGTCCTGCTTTCTCAATCTGCAGGGCTTTGGTGAGGAACGTCTGTCCGGCTATCCCGAGCAGCCCGATGGCCATGAGCGACCACCTGTCCCAGCCGCAGGACGGAATGGTCCATTCGTCCAAGATGAACAAAACAATGATGCACTCGACGAGTCCCAGGACTGCATAGTACCAGACGGAGAGGTAGTAATGAACACTTTTACCTATTTTTCTCAGAATGACCATAGTGCAAGCTGCTCCGACCGCCCCGGCGAAGGCGGCCGACGTGCCTTTGATGTGATTGGTGTAGTCTCCTTCGATGCCAGACAGCTCACCACCAAAGAGGAATGGCGGTCTGGCTATCAGTATGACGCCGGTAAGCGTAAACACAGTAAAAACGACGTCCAATATTGTGCACCTCTCTTTGAGGAAAATCCAAGCCAGCAAGGATGTGAAGACTGGATTACTGAACATTATAACCGTGGCATCAGCTAGGGGCATCTGCAGAACTGCATAATACAACAAGATCATGGCGTTGGACCCCAGGAACCCTCTGAGGAACAGGTAGATTCGCATACCTCTCGGTCCCAAAAAGCCAGTTCTGAAAAATGAAAAGGTTATAGGCTAGGCTATTCCCACATTGCTGAATCAAAATAATATTGGATCCAATCACAGGGTCAAGAGAGTCATACTTGTAACTAGGGTTGTCAATAAGTACCGACTTCGGTACCAGTCGGTACTGAAATTTTAAAAATGTGACGCTTTGAGCGCTGTTGAGCGGAATCGTAAACTCATGCGCTCATCGGAAATGTCTGTGATTGGCTACATTGATCAGCGCTTCAGAAACATGTTGTAAATATACATCAATGACGCTCTTCACGGAGCACTTACACAGATATAGCAGAGCGGTCCGCTAATAATCGCCTGCTTGTGCTTTCAAACACTCTCGCTCCCGTTTTTTAAAACACTTCCAAACACTACCGTGTGCTCTCAAACGCTCCCGTGCATTGACCATTGTAGCCAATCACAGACAAATCCGATGAGCGCGTGAGTACAATAGACAATCAGAGGTGTTTACAATTCCGCTCAATGAATTACTCTCTCCCGTTACTCTCTGCTTATCTTTTCCTGTCAGCCACCGTAACTTCTGTTAGTTGCAATTCACAACCTCACTGCACCTTTAAATATTAATAGTTGTACCGTATTAAAGATTCATACTTGTAATATTTCATAAATTGAAACTTGTATTATAGATTCATCCTTGTAATATATCGGATTTCTACTTGTATTATAGATTCATACTAGAAATATATCATAGATTCATACTTGCTTTATAGATTCTTGTTATATATCAGAATCTTACTTGTATTATAGATTCTTACTTGTTTTTATAGATTCTTACTTGTAATCTATCAGATCCATACTTGAATTATAGATTCATTCTTGTAATAAATCAGATCCATACTTGAATTATAGATTCATACTTATAATAAATCAGATCCATACTTGTATTATAGATTCATACTTGTATTACAGATTCATGCTTGTATTATAGATTTTTACTTGAAATATATCTGAATCATTCTTGTAATATGTATCATAGATTCATACTTAAAATATATCATGGCTGGTAAGACAAACAGCATCTGGAAGAAGCACCGAACCGCACTGATTTGGATGGCGTGCATCCCTTCGATTTTCTTCACAAGAAGAGCTGCAGCGGAGAAGAAGACGGATGCTAACAAGCTATACAGGAGGCCCAGCCCTGGACAAGCTGGTTTCTTTTCTGTGGATGAATATAACAAAACAGCTTAACATCAGACCAAATTAATGATATAGTGTGCAAATTGATTAATTAACTGTTTTAACTGCATAAATAAATATTTGCTGAGAAAAAAACCCTAAATAAAAATCTAATAAATTCTATTGAAATCTATCTATCTATCTATCTATCTATCTATCTATCTATCTATCTATCTATCTATCTATCTATCTATCTATCAAACTTCCAAACCTCTATTTTTTCTAGTTTACTGAGCAGAATTGACAAGTACTTTTAGGTTAAACTGTTCCTGTACAAGGTTAAACTGTATTATATTTTCTCTTTTCCACCATGTTTATTCATTGGAGCACCATATGGAATGACTTTATTACCACACTTATTACTCTTTGTAGACAAACCGTCTGCACAAACAATGGAAATGAGACATGAGAAGTACACAGCTTGATTTGGCTTTTTTTAATGTGTGATCTGAATTTTGATATTTGGAGTGGAGTGAGATGGAACAAAAACAGCATGAATCTCAAAACACTGTTGATGATTCTGTTTCACTTTGACACTGAAATGATACCAAATGTGACGGCAATGATTATGCAACCAAACGCAACTTTACTACCTGTGGGTGAGCTGAGCTGAGCTGCATGCTCAATCAGGTTGTGTGGCTGCCAACATTGGACAAACGCCAAATTGTATCAAATGTCCCATGAGGACCTGGGCTGAGTCAAAGATCATGGGCCCTGGAACATAACACATACCCAACAATACGGGTTTGGTTTAAAACAAACAACTTCACCTGAGCGTTTAGAGAGAACAGAATAGACAAAAGGACATTGTTTCCTGGTGTGATTCAAACGGTTTTTCACACAAATCCAGTACTGCTCATGAGTCATGATGATAAGGCATTTTCTGTTATCTTCTTCCTGAGGAATTTTATATTCCTTTATTTTCTTTATTCTTTAAGACAAGATGACAACTTAAAATTTTAAAGGTACTTTGAAAAAAATAATACCATTGGATAATATGTACTTGCCTAGAATGAAAAACAGTCAAATAGATACAGTAAGTGTGTCCCTTCCAAAAGTTACCATGGTCACCACAGTTTCCAACAACATACAATGGACTGCTACAGTCTGAATTCAAAATCCCATTCATTTCCACCATAGAGGAATTTGTTTTTGAAAAACTGAACTAAATCAAACTTTAAATGTAGGTCACTTTTAATTCAATCATGTAATTCGCAATGCTTCATGAGATTGTAGTTCTTTACCTCATTGAAGCCGTTAAATACACCGTCTTGTACTTTTGTCTTTTTGTCCAAAATACTTTTTTGCTTCAAATCAAAGTTTGTGATGTTGTCATCCACCTTGTAACTGGTTAGTTTGGTTTATGTCATGGCTTATAACGCTTTAATGAAGTCTTCTATAAATTCCCTACGGGAAAAACACTTCTGGAACAAGCGCCGCAGAAAAAGTCGACTGAACCTGTTGCACTTTATTGTACTACAGTATAAACACACTGTGGTAACTTGGAATTAGCCATCACTGTAATTTAAAAATACATAACTAAATCCCATATTAATGTATAAGAACTCAACAGATAACACTTTTTTTGGATGAAAGGTGGCTATAACCAAGAAACCGCAGTTTATTTTAAAAGCGGAAACAATGGTTACAATGGTAACTGTATGTAAGGGACTTGATACAATGTAACTGTTCTCGTCAGCTATAAAAAGGCGTTACCATGGTAATAACCATGCCATTCATTCCACAATTACTTCAATTAATAGGTTACTGTAAAATCATGAAAAATTGATGAGATTTCCTTCAAACAGTTTAAGAAACAATCTGAAATCTGATGTATACATTTTTATTTATTTATTAGTTAACTTTTTTACGGCATGTGGCTAATACAAAGTTACTGCAGATTACTGTATCGATGGTATTTTAAAAAAAAAAACTATGGACACTATGGTGACTGTAACAGGTTTGATACAACATAACTCTTCTCGTCAGCTTTTACAAAGTAAACCCTTAAAAACTTAACATTTGCTATTTATCAAATATAATATAGCTATAATTAAAACTGTAAAATCATGGCAAGTCAATATGGGATTAAGTTGAACAAAGTTACAGCAGGTTTATTGTAGTATCGATGGTATTTTAAAGAAGAAACGATGGTTACAGTATGTACAGTATGTCACAGGTTTGTTACAACGTAACTGTAACATAATGTAACGTAACGTACCATGGCAAACCTGCCATTTATCATATTATTAAAATTATAGTAGGGATGCACAATATACCATATCGGTATTGGCCGATATATGTTCATTTTTAGTGTTATCGTTATCTGACAGATAAGAAAATCTGGCCAATATATTAAAGCTGATAAATGATGGATTATTTCCTTCAGCTGAGACCCTTCAGATGTGCACTGTTTTAGAACATTATAATTGTGTGGTTTGAACATGCCTTTTAATTGTGAGACCTTTGTTTTTGTAATCAAGGCTCTCAAAAAGTTATCGGCTTTCAAATATAAATTGTTATCGGTATGACCAACAATTTCATATCGGTGCATCCCTATGTTAAAGTCATATGGTAAATTGATATGTTGTTTCGTTACAACAGTTAAAGATAGCCTACTATCTTTCTGACCGTAGCAGTTTTTAATTTTTATTTTATGATACCAAGTTACCGCAGATTTATTGTAGTATAAGAGTGGTATATGCGGAAACGATGGTTACTAACGTTACGCTACTGACTTGTAACTGCTCTCGGTAAGTTAACACTAGAGTCACACAGAGGTCACACAGGTGTAGAAATAGACATTAACAGAACAGAAATAGATCGATCGGAGATCAAATCCAGGCTCCTGTTAAGAGTTGAGATCAGTTTACCTTTCTCAACCGTTTTTGCCCCCGTGTCCTCCTCCTCACAATCATCATCCTCATTATCCTTATCCTCATCGCGGTCAGTGTCGCTTCTCTTACAGCAAACCGGCACACAAACCCGGTAAAAAGCCCGTCCGTTGCCCCGTCGGCAGTCCTCAGCGTCAGCATCCGTATCCCGCACTTCTGCTCGAGTTTGCATCTCGATTTCCTCCCCATCGACCCCATCGTCAACTTTCTGATAAAGCACTCTGTCGTCCACTCTACAAGGGACAACAGATAAATCTGTGTCGTTATTACCTATAGAGCCATTGCGCTGTCTAATATCCCCCATGACAGAAGAGAGCGGCTGGGCATACCTTAACCACGACCCTGGACACACGCTTCTTCGGGGAGAAATGCTTACAACCGAGCAAGAGCAACAAGTTCAATGATTAACCTTGTATAAAGAGAGTTGGTTTTGCCTTACTCTGCCGCTAGAGGAAGACAAAATGCATTTTAAGAGGGGCTGGACAACAATGACGTTTCAAAGAGTTTATTCTACGGGTAACGTTAGAATTAATTTTGAATACAATTTCTATTGAGTTACTACTTGGGTTGGAAGATAATAAAAGCAAAACGCACTAGGTCTGTATGTGAAGTTTTTACGCAATTTGAATGAATTCATAGCACCTTTTCTGTTATTTTATTTTTTTATTAATTTCCTTTACTTGTAGTAAAGTATTATTTTATATATTATACTCTCCTTTTCTATATCTACACTGTAAAAAATCCTATGACAAATAAGTTATGACAACATGTTTTTGCATTGCTTTAACGCATCAAAATAAGTTAAGCAATTTTCAACTTATTTTATAAGTTATACAATATAAGTCAGTTTAATGTAATTTAAGTTGAAATGACATAAACATCCAAGTTGATTGTTTTAAAAATTTAAGGCAGCAATACAGTGTATATTTGTTAAAAAAATGTTATACTATATGTTGGAAATGACTATTGTCATGTTCATTGTTTGTAATGTGAGTAGCATTTAAATAATAAATAAATCATTTTGAATTTGATCATTTAAATTGATAAAATATATGGTCTATGCAACAAAGATTTTTCCTCACAAACAGAGTAAAATAAATAACTTTTAAATTACTCCATAACATTCACCCTGTCAAATCTTTTCTGAAGAAAACTTTTCCGATCTGATTTTGACACTTGTTCCTTTTGTCAGAATGACAGTGAAACACTTCTTCATTTGTTTTAGTCGTTCAATTATACTTTTCAGCTCTGGAGAGATGTTGGTTTGTCTTTGTTAGTTTTATCTTACAAGGATTGTTATTGTTAAACAATCTGTTATTTTTGGATTTTTTTGAAGCGGATACAAATGCTTTATAAACCCAATTCTCTTTCTATGTAGATTTTATATTATAAATGTACATTTTAAAATTGTAAACCTATTTTTATTAGTATTCTTACAAGAGATAAAACATTATTTACTTACAATTTCACACTAGCTTAACAAAAAAGCTCTGAGAACTTTTTACTGTATTCATTGTGTATTTTTTATTAATTTGTGTAATGCCCTTTGTTCCTTTTTTAGTTACTGTCTGTATGGTATCGGTCGTTCGTTTTCTTTATTCTCTCTATTGGTGTTATTCTTAATTATTATGTTCTAATTTTGTTGTACCACAGTGTAACCAAATAATAAAGCATAAAAAAATTATTTTGAATTCAGTGAATAAATTATCGAACACTTATGCTTATTACATGGGAGCCTGTTCAGGTCATATTTCACTAATACATCTTAATGAAAACAACACATTTTAGGACCATATCTTGTTTCTTTGATTTTAATGAAAAATATGGCCATAGACATAATTTTGGCAGGTTTCATGGATGCGATTTACCCTCATATTATGCTTCCCACTATACGCAAAATTCATGCATTACGACAAAACAGACTCACGTTTTTTTTTAAGGTTTTATTAGTTCTAACATAAAAAAAACAAGTACTGACAACTAACCTTTCTTCCCACAGTTACTTTTCCTCAAGAGTTGAGCTAAATCTAAGTTTATTGCAATCTCATTAATAAAAGAAGTTGTTGAGTCAAGACAAGTTTCAAATCCATCACATCCAATGTGGTTAAACTGGTCGGTTTTGTTTAAAAAAGTTAAAAATGGCTTTTTACATCACTGTAAAAATGTAAACAGTTTATTTGGCAGATTGTTATCACGTCAACAGCTAACTGATTTGACCTTTGTTGTTTCCTTGTTATACCTCTTTAGTGACTACACGGCAAAGCATGAGAATACGTTAACAATAGCTTTTGTTGAAAAGGACAACAAAAACAGGAAAAATGAAAAGTGCAGAACAGATGGTGACAACAGAGAAAGACACAAAGGGGGCGTTTCTAGAGAGGCATTCATCTGGAATTATTATTATTAGCGCTAGGCTAGATCATGCATGTGTTTTCACAACAGGCTCGGCTGAGCCAGGATCTGGTTCTCTGCGCGTTCGACTGGCACACTAACTGCTCAGGTCGATCATCAAGTGCTCGTAAATCTGTGTCTTCCCTTTAAAGCTGGAAGCCAGCAGGAACTCTCTGTTGTCAATGGACACCAGCGAGAATGCCCTCGGCGCCTGGACGTTGAGCTCCTGGAAGTGCACGAACTGGCTCTTCTTGGTGTCCCACTGATAGACCTGGGTTAGAGAGTAGTCGCTGCCTAGGATGGCGTACTGCCAGTTGCCGATGGAGACGGGCTGGAAGATCATGGAACCCCGCGAGGGCATTGTCTGTATCTCTGTGAACATAGCGCCGTCCCACTTCATCACCTTGGAGTCGCCGATGAAGCGCGTCAGACAGACAAACAGCTCCCCCTTCACCTTGAAGTGTTTGACGGCATAGACGTCCTCCATCTCTGGAATGTCCGTCCGTCTGTCGAACTGCATCTGGCTTCTGCTCCACTGGTAGATAACAGGCCGCTGTGAGCTGCTAGACAAAATAAGATGGGGTTTGCCGGCGATATCAAGGTACTCGACGTCCGTGTCCCGATACCAGGGATGGAGAGACTGGTGCGAGTAGAAGCCATTGCCGTTCCACTTGTACACCGTTGTGGAGCCAGCCTTCGAGCTGTCCGCTATCACGAAGTAGAACTCGCCTTCCACGCGGAAAGTCTCAATGTCGTTGGGCTTCCTGATTTTCAGGATGTCGATGTCCTGGATTTTGATGAATTTATTGGCAGAGCTGTCCCTTTTGTAAATGTGAGAGCCACCGAAAAGTTGAGCGACTATAATGAAAAGGTGGTCTTCGATGACCATTGGCTTGCACACGACCGTGGAAGTGCCTGTAATGACAAAAATGCATTAAAGTTCCCCCAAAAATGAAAATTCTGTCAATAATTTCTCACCCTCGTGTCGTTTCAAACCCGTAAGACTTTTGTTCATCTTCGGAACACAAATAGAGATATTTTTTATGAAATCTGAGAGCTTTCTGTCCCTATATTGACAGCTACGCAACTACCACTTTGACACACACTTCAAAAAGTTCATTAAGAGATCGTAAAACTATATGAATTGAGAGGTTTAGTCCAAATTTTCTGAAGAGACACGATCTGTAGCTGTCAATGGAGGGACAGAAAGCTCTCAGATTTCATCAAAAAGATCTCTATTTGTGTTCCGAAGATGAACGAAAGTCTTGTGGGTCTTCTGAATAATTAATGACAGAATTTTCTTTCTTGGGTGAACAAACCCTTTAAAATTCAATTCATTCAATCAGTCTCTAAATTCAAATGGACATTTGTAACCCCTTTTTGTGGCTTTGCGATTGAGGCATGTGCTGGTGCTGTCGGGCCAGAACAGCATTGCACTCTGGGTAGGAGGTGTGATGTGTGATGCTCACTCTCTATGGTGTCATAAGCTCTGAACTCCATGTTGACGTGGTCCCATTCCAAAAAGCTGCATTTCCCAGAGAAAGGCTGGGCATATACGACATACTGATCATTCCCAAATGTAAAGGACTCCACAGATATGGACTCAAATACAAGGGTTTTCTTTAAAGCAAACTCTGCAACAAACAAACAAAGATTAAGACAAAGAAAAAGCGTTTAAGCCTTTCTTACTTATCTCCATCACTGAAAAATGTATTAATAACTCTGATCTCAATTGCTTGATTGTTTATATCGTTGCCATATGTAAACCATCCTGTCTCCAAGCTGCTAAATGTGGACAATTATGCATTTAGGTATAATAAACATTAACATCATGCTTATCTGTAAAGCTGCTTTGAAACAATGTCTATTATGAAAAGCACATAAAAAACGACTTTGGCAGTCATTCATTCATTTTGTTTCGTGGCTTTTAGGTCATGTTTCCCAGCCTTTCCATATAGCCAAAGAAGTATTAACAACTCCAACTTGCAATATACTATAAATATATCCAGTGCTATCCTCATACATGCTGTACAGTGCACTCACATAAAGCAATAAATACTGCAGGATATAGTAATTAATACTGTTTTGAAACAATGTGTATTGTGAAAAGCCCAAATATACAAATAACATGCTTGTTAGCGCTGAGGCTAATGGACGATATATTAGCCAGGCCAATTAATCACATGATATTTGGTCATTCTGGGATTATCAGCCTATAACTGTATAATAATTGAAATAATTATTTACAATTTGCAGTGTTGGGGAGTAACTAGTTACATAGTTACGTAATTTAATTACAAAATAAATGACTGAGAAAAAATGTGTAATTAAATTACAGTTACTTATGAAAATGTTAACGATTACAAAGGGGGTTACATCTGAATATTTTCTGTAAAAATCTAGGATATGTTGAATAATATTAATTTGTTGCTTTGCCTGTTTTTGATGTGCACGATGCCTCCTGCTATTTAAAGGCCGTTTAGTAAAGCGATGCGATTCTGATGCTTTTGATTGGTTGATGGCGAGTGATAAAAATGCGTACCAGTGCTGGAAATTAGAAAAGTAATCAAAAATCAATCAGCTCCATTACTAAATAGTTATATTACTTATTACAATTTTAAAAAGGGTAATCCGTAACCTATTACATTTCCAAAGAAACCTTCCAAACACCGACATTTAGCAGTTTAGCATTGTTATCAATAAATTGCACTGCAAAAATCAGCCACCCTGCTCTCTAGATACACCTCAGTCACCAATGGCCACTATTTGAAGCTTTCGAGATCTAAACATACTCTTGTACTTACACATTGCCAACTTTACATTCACTGTCTTTCGGGAAAATTAAAATTGCTGGGGAATAAACACATTTTTAAGGTGAATATGTAATCCTTTTATTGTGAATGCCTTTTTATTTATCTCCATAAGCATTTCAGCAGACATGAGGGATCAGCTAATTTCAAAAGCCAGGACAGTCCAGCACAAAATTACCTGCTGTAATGCAGTCGAAGGACTGAGGCACAAGGTCATTGATCTTCTTGCCTTGATAGGCTGAAGGTCCACTGCAGTGTAGCTGGTCCACCGTTGCATTAGTGCTGTACATCCATTCCACCAGCCACTTCAACTTACAGTCACAACTGAACATGTTTCCTCTGAGATCCCTGCTCAATGGATTTACAGATGACATTTCAAATCACCTTTTTTTCTGGTATATTATATTACGAGAATGATGGACTTGAGTGGTCGAATACATACACTTTTGTTAAGGCATCCATTCCTTTGAAAATATCTTTGGGCAACGTCTCAAGATTATTGTAGGCAAGACTCCTAACAAACAAAAACATTTGTTAACACGACTACTGCACGTATTAATCTTAGTTCATTTTAATTTGAACATTAATTACTATGTTTTTAAGATCAAAAGTTGTATCTGTTAACATTAGTTAATGCACTGCGAACTAACATGAACATTATTATGTTAATTGATGCAATAATCAATGTCAACAAAAGAGAACATATTGTAAGATTACGGTATTACGAACTCTAGCATAATACCATATATTTAAATAAAACAATAATATAGTAATATATACACCACCGTTCAAAAGTTTGTGATCTGTACGATTTTTTTATGTTTTGAAAGAAGTGTCTTATCCTCACCAAGGCTGCTTTTGTTTGATACAAAATACAGTATAAACTGTAATATTGTGAAATTCTATTCCAGTTTTAAAGAACTGTTTTCTTTTTGAACATATTTTAAAATGTAATTTATTGCTATGATGCAAAGCTGAATTTTCAGCATCGTTACTCTGATCTTCAGTGTCACATGATTCATCAGAAATCATAATATATTTCCAATAGAAAACAGTGATTTTAAATTGTAATAATATTTCACAATATTACTGTTTTTACTGTATTTTGGATCAAATAAATGCATCCTTGGTGAGCATAAGAGACTTCTTTTAATATACATGCATATATATATATATATATATATATATATATATATAAATACATATATATTTATATATATATATATAATAAAAACTTTAAATATACTCACAGGTGTATGAGAGATTTCAAACCTCTAAAGGCATGGGGTGAAATCGACTCAATTTTGTTGTTTTCAATAAATCTGAAAAAGAGTGTTGCATTTATAGTAAATCGGAGTGATAATCTAAAATGATTGAATGATGAGAGTTTCGAACACAATAAATCAAACTCACAGATATTCCAGATGTGGCAGGCCTTGGAAAGCATCTTCGTCGATGAAGTCAAAAGAATTGGCTGTAAACAATCTAGGAAATCATGGAACACACAAAACAGTTTCAATGGTTTCAGAGTTTGAATCGCTGCATATTTTAAGCAATGGCATTTCTTAACACAATAACTACACCAACAAAATATTTATAAACACAAATATTTTCATATTAGGCTGGTGTTTAGCCCATGACAATAAGTTCCATCCGGAGGAAGACAAAATAACAATAGCATTCTTTTTCTCCATGCATGCATACCTTTCTGTTTTTAATTATATTGCTGAAACTCCACTTTAGTCTAGCATATGAAATGACACCCAACCAAAGACTGGTATTTTCAATCAGACCTAACACAGGGTGTAAAAGATAAAAGACTGGTCATATTTTGCATAATAGTGCCAAATCCAGCAGTCAGATTTGCATTTTCTTTTGTGCGAGTTTACATTTACATAGAAACGCATTACTTGCTGCCTTCAAGCCTTTTCCGATGTTCATTTCAAAGGTTGTGTGTTTTATAAACTAGGAGCAAGACGGTGTGATATTTAGAAGACCGAGATTTTCTTATTTGCTTATCACGAGGACAGGGCCATGTCCCTCACAGAGCAGCTGCATTGCATAATATTCACAGCAATTTAAAGGCTTTGAGAAATTAGACACGCTGAAGAATGTCCCCAAAATGGGGGGCGGGCTGTAATTGCTTAGAACAAACATTGGACCACTTAACATGGTGATCACCCCATCCTAATAAAGAATCCACAACAACAACAACTTGACACTAAAAGAAACTCACAGAAGCTGAAGGGATGGAGTGTGGAGAAAGCTTCCCCCTGCAATCTCAGTGAATCCAGACTTCACAAATGATCTGTTAGGAAAAGAATCAAGAACTGTGTGAGCAGGACAAAGATTATACAACAAAACATACAAAGGCTCAGATAGTATATGCATATTCATTATATGCAAACGATTTGCATCTGCATCGTAAATGAATCAGTGCTGCACTTGAATATATGAATGTAAACTGTACTTACAGTGAGACGACATCAGGAGGGAAGCTGTGTGGCACAGATCTCACATTGTCACACAAGGCGTTATCTTTGGTGCACGTGCATCCAGAGGGGCATCTCGGCAGTTTGCCTCTTCTGCTCTCCACGAACACCAGCACCGTGGCGACCCACAGCAGAAAACTGTATCCTCTTATGCTCCTGTTTGCATTTCCCATTCTGTCCCGGTGTGTTCCTGAGTGCCGTGCTGTTTTCGCTGGTGATAAGTGCTGGTCTGCTGGACTGACTGGTCGACTCCCCTCAGTTGTGTCCGTGTGATGAATGTCTATGTCTCAGTGTGGCAGGCGCTCATCCAAGCGATTCGTTCTGCTATAGGGAAGATATCCGAGCGGGCTCAGATTTCCTCTTAGTTACATGCCGATTTGGAAATTAAACATTTTTTTTGTCTAAATAACCGAGAGAGGTAAAAAAAAAAAATAAAAAAAAATAAAAAAAATCAACAGTAACAAAATGAAAGTGGAAAAAAAATCCCTTGGCAACGCGGGCTCGTTTAGATCCTGGGAGAATCCCTCTTTTGCATCATGATACCAGCTGCTATCCAATGGTGTTATTACTGTGAATGCGCATGAACCAAATCCATGAATAAGTGATAGTGAGAATATTCATGAGGCTTTAGAGAGATGCACCTGCGCCCCTCAAGCGATCAGAGAAAGAAATACTATGCTGCTATAGGCTTATTCTTTAATTAAGCATATTTCATATTACATTTAATAAAATGTTATTTAATAATAGCACTATTCAAGCACTGTGGATTGTGCATTATAATAGTAACATATATTATAATAGGTTTCTGCACAATGGATAAATATAAGGTGCTTGAAGAATGCTATATTTAAATTAATTTTATGAAAAGTAATACTGTATATAAATATATAAGAGAGAGAGAGAGAGAGAGAGAGAGAGAGAGAGAGAGAGAGAGAGAGAGAGAGAGAGAGAGAGAGAGAGAGAGAGAATACAGTTACCTATTAAAAGTGTTTTGTGCATCTGTATAATGACTTAAAATTGATCAATAGATGTTTCTTTGTTACATTCACATAGCCATTTGGGAACAGTAAAATGGCTGTCCTGATCACTGCAACTCTTCCAGTGCTTTCATTTTTAGCATTTTTCTGAATAAAAGACCAGTTGTTCTACATGTGAGAAAATGGCACTTCGCCCCCTTACCCCCTCTAATTTCCAGTCACTGAATTTTACACCAATTTCTGATGTAAACAATTGTCTGTTTGAAACAAAGAAAAATTATAATCATATAGCCTACCCAAATCCTGTCACTTTTAAGCAATTTTTACACATTCACATGTAGATCTGTAGTTTTATTCCTAAAATATATAAATAACTATTATTCAGACTCCATTGTAATATAATATTCACACAAATTGAGACAAAGGGATTGGCCTTGATAGTTCCCATCAAAAGCAGCACAACACAAGCATTGTGAAGACGGGAAGACGGGTCTACCTTTGTTTTTACCACGTGGCTTATACGTCATCATTTCGCGCCCGTCGGAGGTTCAGCTGCATGTAAACACAGATGAGCGGCTCGGACAAACCAGCGCTAGACCTTGTTAAGGTAGTTTATAAGTCACAAGTTATGCACAGGAATCTGAAAATTTGGTTTAATTTGCGTTCTTTGTTGTGTTGTGGCAGCTTGTCATGCGTGACGTGAAAGTAAAGGTTACTCATATCGCACAGATGATCCATGCCACATCTTTTCCCTGTATTAATTATAGAACAGAAATGCTCGTGCTTTAAAATGTAGATTGTTTAACACTAATAATAAGTGTTTAATGTGGCTTGTTACCTTGAAGAAAAACATATGTATTCGTTTGCTCAATAAACCTTGTAAAGCATGACATATGAAATAAGTCAGAAACGATATTGTACCTTTAATATATACGTACATGTATAGCATGCATATATTATATGTTGCGGATGTTGTTGTTTACATGGCCAAAAATTAAAATGAAATTCTTATAACATATAACTGAAATCAAATCAAATGATTTTCATAAAGGTATAACACAGTTCTTACACAAAATGAAAATAAATATCAGTTATTAGCTAAATAACTATCAGTAATTAGCATAAACTATGTCTCCCAATAACATGTTTTATAAAGAGAACATACAGATCAAACTGTGGGGGCAAAACATATAATGCCATGCAATACAACGATGATTGACTGAAATTGTTATTATAATTTAAATAAAACTTTCTATATTAAATAACTTATATTATATTATAAATACTATATTAATAAAACTGTGTTAAATGTCACTGCATATTTTGATATGTTGCTCATAAGCATATTTTTTACTATTATTGTTGTTGTTGTTAGTATTAGATAATTCATCATGTTCAAAATTGTTTATTGTAACGATTTTCCTTTTCAGTCTTTGTTGAGAAGCTCATAAGAATGTTTCTTTGTTGCATTCTATGGATTTTTCACATAGCCGTTTGAGAACAGTAAAGCGCCTGTCCTGATCACTGCAACTCCTTCAGTGCTTTCATTTTTACCATTTTTCGAATGAAAGACCAATTGTTCTGGATTTTCTGTCACTGAATCTTTACCGATTTCTGATAAGAACAAGTGTGAATTATGACACAAATAATAAAGGCAGTGTCAGAACTGACCCTCACGTGTTGTGTCCTGCTGCCGTCGACTCTGGGTGTTGTGTTTCCTCTGCTGTGCTGAAGTGGCATCATGGCAGCTGACTCAGTGTATCAAGCACAAGTACTTTCCATCTTTGCTGTGGTCAGCTGGCTCATCTTCCCTTTTCCTCCTGTACTTGTTTAGTATATCACCTGCCACAAATCACCATGTTGGCATTTCACAGATTAACAAATATGTTTAAATGTTGTGCATTAATACCAGGTTATAACCTGCACACTGTTGTTGGTGATTCCATGCATTTTGTGTAATCAGTGTCCCTTTTTTGTGCTATGATAATGTTTTAGGTCCATGGAGGCGGAGGGTATGACTCTGATTTCAGTGATGATGATGGTGGTGGAGGGCAGTCCAAATATGACGACAAAAGGTGAGATTTTGTTTAATATCACTAACAAAAAAATGGTTTTGGGTATCATATATTTCAGCATAGAATAATGGTACTACCATGTTTTTGAACATGTAGATCATGTGGAAATCATGTTTTTTTTAAGTCTTTTCTGCTCACCAATGCTGCATTATTTAATAAAAAATACAGTAAAACCAGTATTATTGTGAAATATTATTACTACTTAAAATAACGCTTTTCTTTTCAAATATATTTTAAAATTTAATTAACTCCTCTTAATGGCTAATCAGCATTAGAATGATTTCTGAAGGATCACGTGACACTGAAGACTGGAGTAATGATGCTGAAAATTCAGCTTTGCCATCACAGGAATAAATTACATTTCAAAATATATTACAATATAAATGTATTATTTTTAAAATGTAATAATATTTCACAATATTACTGTTTTTTACTGTATCTTTGCCTTGGTGAATTTATATACATGTAAGCAACAGCAAATAACGGAATATAATTAGAACGAATGTGATTAATTAGCATTTTAAGTGCTGATCATCTTGTGTGTTTTTGGTTTTAGGGCCGGTGAAAATGAGCTGTTACAGAAGCCATTCCAGAAAGGTCGACACACCAAGGTGGCCCATAAAAATGTTGCTGCCCATGAATGGGACAGGTACTGCTTTTGTCCATCAAAATATCAAAGTATATAGTAAAAATATCAAAGTATATGCTGAATGCTGAAATAAATTTTGCTGGGTTTTTTTTCCTGACAGAGAGGAAGCCAGAAACCGACGGCAACACCTGATATCAATGAACGCTGTATCCGGTCAATGGGTGTTTTTCACAAAATCGTGCGGCACTGGCAGATTTGCAGCTTTTGAAAAGCTCTGCATTTCTTTGTGGCTCATTTTACATTCTATGATTTCATCTCGTTAGACTGAGAGACCGAATGAGACTATGTAATAAAGTTTTGATTAAAATGCATCGTATAAAGGCCCGGTTACACCAAGAACAGTAACTATAAAGGTCACTATATTAGCGTCCGCACCATCGTTCTGTTTATTATAAACACGCTGCGGGTTTGTCATCTGCCACTTTAGAGCTCTTTAAAGCAGGATGGATTCTGATTGGCTGTCAATGTTTTTATCGTTCATCAGCTGGAAAAAAATAGTTCTCGTGATTTCAACTATATAGTTTCTCTGTGCTATCGTTATAGTTGTGGTGTGGACTATATTTAGAACTATATCTTTATTACTATAGTTATCGTTCTTAGTGTGAACGAGCCTGTATATTTGGGAAAGTTTGACCGTAGTAAACAAAGGATAAATATTTTTTCTTCCGAGTGGCAAAAAATCCTTAACAGTATTTTGTGAGTTTGAACGTCACAAGAAGTTTGTCAGCGACTACATTCTGTATTATGGAGGGACGATGGAGGAACTCAGACGATCCACGTGAGCAATTTACTTAATCTGCCTTTTATAGAAACACTGTCACTCTCATGAAAACTACTGAACATTTGAAGTTTGCAGTTTTTCTAATATGAAATATATGATGAATACAGTTAAGTGGTGCAGCTTCAGCTTTAGTTTTATTTCAGGTTAGATGCTTTGATAGATGCTGATTGGAAGTGTGTGTTTCCATACGCAGGTCTAGAGATAAGACAGATCTGGATGTGGTGAAAGAGAACCACCGTTTCCTGTGGAGAGAGGAGGATGAGGAGGATATGACATGGTATCTCTATTTTTTATTTATTTTAATCTTGACCGTTGTTCTTAACCTCTGCACAGTCTCCCTAAGACACATTTTCTGAACCCTTTTATAGGGAGCAAGAGCTCGCAAAGAAGTACTACGATAAGCTATTCAAGGAGTACTGTATCGCAGACCTTAGCAGATACAAAGAAAATAAGGTTTGCCTGTTCATTTTTAACCCTGTAAAGCCTGATGTATGACATAAAAGTCTGAAAAGTTTGCATTACTGTAATGTGTTTTATGTTTTGTATCATATTTGATTCACCAGGCTCATATAGTATGATATAGTGAAAATATGGAGCTCACACTTCAATTCAAAAACACCTCAATTTTATTCAGAAGCCCTAAAATATGCAATTTGACGCAGTTGTTATTATTAATTATATAGCCAAAAATTGAAAAAGATGAAATTCTGATAGCTTGTAATGTGAATCAATTACATTTTTTTAACACTATTGCATATTTACATAAAATGCATGTAAATATCAGTTGTTTACAAATGATATGTTTTAAGATATTTAAATGCTTAGTTTTATGATCAAAGCTCTGTAGTTTTAATTGTGGAGGCAAAACATATAATACAATACAATCAATGATGATTGAGAGATTAATAAATAAACGTTCCTCGAAAGCCTGTTGTATGATATTTGATTCTGGTGTTCAAGTGTTCATCTTGAAATATTACTAACAATATAAAGGTTATTTATATTATAGCCTTTAACTTGCTAAAAAAGTATAAACTATCAATCGTTGCTATAGATTGTTCATGTTGATAATTTTGAGGCATTAGAAATTCACAGATCAAATATGATACTACAGGGTTCAATGTTTATAATGTTAAATACTTTTCTGGGCATGTTGTCTTTTAGTATCTTAAATGCTCTTTCGTTTCTTTATTTACTGAATCAAATCTTTTCTGTTACTAGTTTGGATTTCGGTGGCGCATTGAAAATGAAGTAGTATCTGGAAAAGGTAATTCAAAAACAGTTTTCTACTTCTATACTTATATATAAAACTTTTAGGCCTGGTTACACAGACAGGGCTTCGATTAAGCCAGGATTAGGCCTTAGTTAAACTAAGACATTTAAGTAGCTTTAATAAACGTGCCTTAGAAAACACCATTTCTGGTGTACATCTTGAGACAAAACAATTGCACTGACATATTTTAATGTCAGTGAAAGTTGCTTTCAGTTAAAACAGCTCAAACCATGCATTTTAGTCTCAGACTAGGCTCAAGCCTTGTCTGTGAAACCGAGCATTAATATGTTCACATACTTGAAGTACAGTATTCTGGTTGGTTGCATAAAGAACAAAACGGGTCTAAAATTCAGAGCAATATCAAAACAGTACTGTTCTCAGCCACTAGGTGGTGATGCAGTTTTATCTTGTGTGAAATAACATCCTCATCCTGACCATGATCCTGACCAAACCAGGGATGGACTGGGACTGAAAAAACAGCTTTAGTGGGCTGATAAATAGATGTTGCAGAATTGCAAAAAGAAAGCACAGTTAATTTACATAATAAATAAATTATTCAACTTTTACGTAAACTGATCAGATGGTGAAGGCTTGACCATAAATACACTTATTTCCCTCTTTAAAATAGGTATGGGGCACATTTGATTACATTTTTATTTAATTTGAGTAAGTAGTAAATGTTGGAAGATGCCTCATGAATTAGCTTGTTTTTTTGTTCAGGTAAATGTTGACATGTCTTTCCAGAGTAATTTAATATTAGATTATTATTGTTTAGCATATAGAAATTTCTATGACAGTGGCCTAATTGTAAGGTTGTGTTGGGTTTACCTGTGTCATAACAAAAATCAATGGTTTTGTTGTCTCTGGTTCATGGTTCACGGTTATGTTATCTTAGTAGGTAAACAAGGGTGAAGTACGTGTAACAATCATCAAAATTACACAAACAAATAGAGGTCCATGCAGAGGTCCTTAAACGATTGATCATATGGTCACACGCTGTCACGCTTGTATGTTAGAGACTAGCAAAGCATATATTCAAAAATATCCAGCTTTATAATGGGAGTGAATGGTACCATTTTTTGAAGCTCAAAAAAGCACATCCATCCTTCATTACAGTAATCCATACGACTCCAGGGGGTTAATAAAGGCCTCTGAAGTGAAGCATTTTTGGAAGAAAAATATCCATATTTACAACTTTATAAACTATAATACCTGACTTCCGGTAGCGGCTGTACGCGAGTCGAGTTCTGGTGGAAGAGTGACCTCTGACCCAACGCATGACGTATTGAAAAACGTGGAAGCGCAGAGGATAGAGCAAAACAAAACACCAGTCATGAATTAAAGTCTATAATGAGAATTTTTAAAGAGAAATGTCGGAGGAGCTTGAGTTTGTTGCTCAGTCCTATGTGTTTGAACCGCGAGAGGCGTCTACTTTTACCTAATCTTAAGCTACTCCTACATCCTACGTCATACGCCAGAACTCGACTCTCTCATGAACGCGCGGACGGACGTTACCGGAAGCTGATGATTACAGTTTATAAAGTTATAATTATGGATATATTTCTTACAAAAATGCAACGCTTTGCTTCAGAAATCCTTTAAACCCCTGGAGCCGTGTGGATTACTTTTATAATGGATGGATGCGCTTTTTTGGGCTTCAAAAATGGTATTCATTCTCATTATAAAGCTTGGAAAAGCCAGGATATTCTTTAAAGGGGTCCTATTATGCCCTTTTACGAGGTCTTGATTTTGAACGGATTTCATGCACAGACTTTGCAAGCACGGATTTCAGAGTGGTTTGTTTTTTGTTGTTGTAATTTTCTTATACATTTTAGATACATTACACACCATTTAATCATGATATTTGTCTGAAAACTAGGGTAATACAAACAGTAATTGATCACAAAAGCATGGTTAATTTTCCTAAGGGGTGGTGATTCTGAACAGTCTTACAAAAGCAAGAGCTTACAAAAGC